ATACGTGTCCCTCCCGATCCACAAACTATACAGCAGTCTGTAAATGCAGCACATAACGTTTGACACCTAATCCACCTCCTGTGGTTGCTGTACCTGGCAGTTCTCATGCTAGCGGGCCAGATGTTAGGATTCCTACATCGTGGCAAGGCTCGTCGGCAACTCCAGTTATGGGTGCAGGTGCCATCGGATATTCATCAAAACATGCACTTTATGCTGCTGAGCGTGACCGGTGGGGGAAAATGGCATATGCTTCATCTCTAGCAGAGACAATTTTGCTTGAAATCACTGTTGTTCATGAAGGTGCCAGAGCTCGCAAGAAATGTGGTATTACTATCAGAGTACGTCTACCTTAAGTATGCTGTGGCTTGCTAACACTTCAATTTAGAATATATGTGAGGGTAAGAAGGATGTTGATGCTCAAATTGACACTCCTGGGCTCATTGAGCTAGCATTGGAGACCGTTGTCCCAAAGCTACGCAAATTTGGTGGAGAATTTATCTGGTGTGTTGAGGAATTCATAATCCGAGATGCTGCATGGGTGGACCTATCCAATCACCCACCATCAGTCCCATACTTCTACGATCAATGCCTGCAGCCATCTTGCAAAGGCACCAAATCGACCTTCAAGTCTAAGCAATTCATGCTGATGGTTGTTGTCCCAGAGGCTCAGTGGAACAAATATGAAAATTGGTTGGAGCAAATAGTACGTGTTTTTGTCTGCTTACCACTAGTACTAACCATGATTTTGTGGTCCAGGAAGCGGAAGCTACCCGAACGAGATGCACACAATCTAGTGACGTCAGTTGCAACCTGCCTGCATCAGCAACAACAACTTCACTCACCGAGAATGAGCTTTTCTTGCCCTCTGTTACTGGTGACAATTCTGCGCGGCCTGCATCAGCAACAACTTCACTCGCTGAGAATGAACTTTTCTTGCCCTCTGTGAATGGTGACAATTCTGTGGTGGTCTCTACCAAGCGAACCCACCAGCGCGGCTCTAGTGGTCTCAGTGGGGCTTCATCTCCACCTCAGAAGAAGAATTTACCTGTCACAACCCAATAACGAATAAACGCTAGGGCAGAGACTAGGACTCAAACTGAGGATAATCACAACAAGAGGATAAGGAGCAAGGACGTCTTGGATTGCTACAATGTAGATACAAGAGGTTTGAACTAAGGAACTTATCGACCAAGACGTGCTACCTATATACAACTATTGAAATGGAGATTGAAACTGAGATACAACTACTAGCCAATCATAAAAAGGAAAAGGGAATCGTACCATAGAACATCGTAGAATATTAAAGAAGTATCACGTGACCATATCTTATCTTATCATATCTAATCTAATCTATTCACAATCAAAGAACTCGTCTTCTTCATCAGTCACATCGAAGACACGTGTCGTGGGCGCTAAAGGAATCTCTGAACTAGTAGATGCTTTCAGGGGTAGGGTTAGGGTTTGAGTTAGGCACTGTGTATTGGCGCTTAGGAAGATTCAAGAAAGAATAATGGTTTGTTAAAGGTACTTGTGACATTACCTATGGTAGTTCTCTGTTCACCTGATTGTGAACGACTCAAAGAAGTCTTGAAGATTGGCGGAGGTGCCAACCTAAACATAAAGCAAGGTATGTACATTCATCGAATTTCTCAAATTGTGTCGATGCTTACTAGTATTTCAGTCTTTGGACTACAGAATGAAAGTGTTCAATTCCACCAAATCCCTACGCACACCATTACCGACCTCTTGCTAAACAAACAGCATCATTCGTTTTCAGTGGACACAGCTGAGTCATCCATTGGGCAGCTGACTATTGATACATCAACGGAAGGTTTCATTGGAATTGGCGGCTTCAAGACTGCGAATGCCGGATGGCTCACACTTACAGCTCCTCCCAGGACTGGTCTTGGATCAGTCACTTGTCATAAAGTTGTAGTCAAATGTCCATTCTACAAAGTATTTCCAACTGCTGTGAAGGCTGGACATTATAAGGTTGGCCATTATGCGCTCATTGACGAGCTACCCAAGCTATTCAGAGAGGCCAATGTCTTATACTGGTCCAAATCTTTATTAAAGCTCACTTACGACTTTATCGACTGTTCCATTGCATCCTCACCTGAACCTCCAACATTCGTGGTCCCATGTGTTCGATTTGTGGAAGCTGGCCTCGCATTATGCTACAGTCAGGGCGGTAGCAAGCCGGGAACAAAGACAGGGTCAACACGGGCCGCCTTTCTCCTCAAAGAGCTCATTGAGGGTGGTGATGACGAGTTTCTCAAATTCATCCACAATATGGACGCCAATCCATTACTTGATGAATTGGATTATGGCTATGACATGGCAGAATTTTTTGCCTTCACGCAGCATGTCCAATATGTCAAGACCAGCAAGCTAGCTTTCATATCTGATTATCAGGGTGCGTCTCATTCACTGATACATTCAATCTTCAGTTGTAATGACACAATATATTCAGGTAGTACAGTACTACTCACAGATCCTCAGATCTTGACTCATCCGTATGTTTTCATTCATTCGGAATACTCAATACTGATGTTCGTGTAGGTCAGTCAGCAATGGAAGTGATATTTTTGGCGAGGGAAATATCGAGGTGGCCGTCAGCCAATTTGAAGACCAGCATGCCTGCAATGAGTACTGCAAATGGCCTGGGTTTGGGCTGGAAGCATTTGTTACCGAAGTGAATGACCATGACTCGGAAGTAGGAAATTAGATTGACAGGACATGTACTCAGCGGACTGATATATTATATAATTTTCTTGCGTGTGAGGTGTCCGATGTCCCAATTGTGTGATTACCTCATTTGGTGCATGTCACGTCGTGTAACGGAGCGCGCGCGTCCGGCTTTCCATAACAAACAACCCTGTGAATCGATTTAGCCAGAATTATCAGCCTAGGTATATCAGGCAGTTTAAAAACAGTCTAACCTTCTATTTCATAACGCGATGCATATAGTATAACTCATAAACCACCCCTCGACTCCCATACTCGTTAACATGCGCCAGCCCCACGCTCGGCACTAGTATTAATAGGCTCCTCATCTGACTCCGAGTCAGGCGTAAATTTCCGAGAGGGAGGAGGGTTCGTTATGGGGCTATGATCGGGTTGCTGGCGCATTGGTGGTTTGTGGGCCCGTTGTATTGGTGGTGACCGTGTTGGGGAGGTGGCGGGCGGCGTTGCTAGGCTGCTGCTTGGTGTGTATGGATGCGGAGTTGGTGGGAGGCCTAGAGGTAAGCTTGAATACATCGTACTACACGTAGGCGGTATAGGCATCCACATACACAAGTAGTATGACCATATCCTATACTTGCAGCTGTTTTCCCCGCACCCGCCTGCGCCTTACGTGACGTGGCTTTCTTGCAGACATCCCATCATGAATAAAACTATTCCGCGAGATGTCATGCCGCCATCATCAGCTCGTGCCCAAAGGCATCATATAAGTGATAGAAATTAACTGTCAACCAAGAGCGGCAATGATATTATATCGGTGACTTAAGAGCTCACTCACTCTTCGTGGGCGCGCGCGAGACCGCAAGTACCATCCAAGGTCAGGCTATCAACGGTCTCTTCAAAGATCAGGCAGCTTGCTATCAGATCCCACCGATGGTGCAATTCAAATCATGTTAGATGCAAACTAGGGAGTGCGGGTATTACTAGCTATAAAGCTTATAAGGAGAACTATGTACCATGTAATATCCTAGGGAAGGTCCAAAGTCCAATAAATGCTCAAGGACCGATGTTAATGGGCGTGCATCCAACATTCACAACGCCATTCTAAAATTTCACTGTCAGACACAGACAAAACAGAAAACATCGTTTAAAACTCACCATCTGGTTGTTGCTGCAACACATAGGTTGCTGTCTGCAGCTGGCGCCGCTGCTAAGGGCGGCGATACCAAGAGGGGTGCAGCTCTGGCCAACGTAGCCGCTGAGAGTAGTGGGTAATTCTGCAAGGCCATTACGCCTTGCGGACGCATTGTACTCGGAAGTCTGCACAAACCATGAGTATCAATAAAAATACATAGGAATCCATTACTCACAGTGGTAGCGCTCTCACAACATTGGACGTTACCAGTGTTGCACTGGCCATCACGGAGAGTGAGGGGAGTGGCGACAGCGAGAGCTGCAAGGAAGACAACAGCGAAGAAACGAGCGAACATTGTGTTAAATTGAACGGTTAAAAGAGTGTGGGGATGTGTGATGCTGGGAAACTAACTGAAGAGGAGATGGGTTCTGAAGAATCGAATGCATTGTAGTCCACCTTTTATACGATGAATACATGTTGTAACCCGGGTACTCCGCCGTCTTTGTTCATGTTTTTTTAGATCGGATAACCGATGGGCCAATATACCGTCTGGTCCGTGGTCTGGAGCATGTACTAGCCGTACATGCAATTAAATGTGCATTACGTGAATATTACTTTAGCGTGAAGCCAACGCGTTTCAACCACGTGACTCATCACCATGGTCATCCGAAGTCCGAGAACTATCCGACTCTGTGTTCCTCTAACACTACTGTACTTACTACTTACGCTCAGACGCAGCGTGTCTAAATATTTTTGTCCGTGCCAATTTGTGCAATCTGGAGCTTATGTATAACGTCAGTTGCTAGTACACGTACCACTAGCATCATGATGGAGTGCCATGGCGTTGTAAGTTTGTAAAAACTCTCACTGTATTGCCACGACAAGAACAGGAAGCACAATGTGATATAGCTCAGAACTTCTACTCAATATTCGATCTTTTGCACGTAAATTCTGCCAGTAGTCTCGCATGCTGGAACCAGGGTGCACAGTTCTTCTGATCTTGGAAGTGCCGTGCATGTAAAAAGTACGAGATAAGCTGAACATGAAGACCGAACCCTTTTGAGATGAAAGATTCCAAGGACGTCTTCGAGCTTACGCGATTAACCTGCCATCGACTCTTGAAGCTTCCGAACGAATGTGTGCTGGATGAACACGAATCCGAGCTTGTGACACCGAAGCCTCGAGGCTAGCCAAGTAATTGCTAGATGTTGACGGTTTCACACTTGACATGACTGATCCATGAGCACAAGTACATCATATAAAGCGGGAAATCACAAAAGGAGTGTGAACGAAAGTGTGGATATCAGATTAAGTTGATCGATAGCTAGTGCAAGAGCCATTGACATCACTCACGATAGTCACGTCTCGTTGTGTCACTGATAGAAACGCCCAAACCCACATTGGCGGGTGTTCCAAAGCGCACGGTATTGTCTTCTTCTGCGTGCGTCAAATCTGCATGATTTTGAGTTGAGATTTTGAATAAAGTCGCAAGTAAAGAACGGAACAAGTACTATACATTTAACAATAGAGAAATTTTTTTCGAGCCTTCTTCACAACGGATAATTGTATCAGACACTCCATCTGGCGGTGCAACAAACGTTTTCGGCCGCTTAGCTTCGAGAAGATGGGCCGAATCAGCATGGCCGTCCTGATGATGAACGGGAAGGTGGTTGGCGTTATTAGTTCCGGTGACGGTAAGACAGCAGCTGGTCGCACAACGCTTTTGTCATAAACCTCCAGTATCCAGAAGATTGGAGTAACATTTATGAAAAAGCACGAAGCGAACACGAGCACCGCGTGAGGACTACCAGGGTCTTCACATTAGATTCCCTGTGTAGGTGCTGTGTTACCCGCGACATGAATGACGTGGTACTCACTAGAACTCAAGAAAAAAGTTGTCCCAACTTCCGTCATCATATTCATCTTCTGTGAATTATTGCGAACCCGTTCTACCTGAGCGCGTTATAGTGGTCACGTCCGTATGGATGCTCTGTAGAAGCCAGCTGAGCTGCCACTAATAATGGCAGGCGAACACGAGGATTGATGCCAAACAGGCTGGGCGTGTATACTTCTGGAGATTAAGTCATGTGCTAAAAACCGACAAAAAAATGACAGACCGCTCACCCATTTGATCTTGCAACGGCAGAGGATGTTCTGTTACGAGTCGCGGATCTGCCATGTGCTGCGAAAAGCACCTGCACTTCAAACATTATAGCAGTAGAACAGACTTATTTGCTTTCGTGCGGTCTTGGGAGGGTGTCACAATGCTCTAGCAGCGGTGAATTGAGAACGAGTGGGGATGGTAGGAAAAACTAGAGAGACCAGATGAAACTTATTGTCGATAGTAATGACAAAACACGAGACCTACTTGTAGATAGATGCCACCGTTCGAATCATCTTGCTCCTCCTGAGATCCTCCGAGTCAAGCCTCGACGGTCGCAAAACAAGATTTGTACGTCAACCTGTGGGGAAAGAACTAGTACACGTGACGTCAGGCTAGGCTCAAGTTGTTCAACAACTTTTGGACTTACATATCTGTAGTGACTGCTGGAGTATGATGTGCACTGTGCAAGCTTGAAGCCAACGTGCCTGATATGATATGTTCAAAGCCGTATACAACGTGCACACTACAAATTTGTTGCGAGAGGTTGACCAATTACACGTAAGGACAAGACGATACATAAAATTTACGTCGTCGTATATAAAGCAACGCCCCATGTCTGAACATGAATAAGGTATACAAGAATATGCTGTACTGCTTGAAAAAGTCGTAAGTGGAGAACGAAAATTCAGGCCACTACACATGTAGAAATACTTTAGAGAAATACTTCTTCAGGCCTTCCGCACCATGCACGATCGCCCCAACCACTCCGTCCGGCCGTAATCACAAACACCCTCGTCTGGCCAGCTTCCACAAGATAAGCCGAATAAGCATGGCCCTCCTGATCAACTAAGAACGAAGGTCAGCAGGAGATGTAATAGACGTCACCTGATGAAGATGAAGGCAGGAATGACTACTGATCGCACAATGCTTTTGTCGTATGCTTCCAGCGCACCCAAGGTCAAGGTAGCATCTGTATGACTCGGCGCGAACACAAGCACAGTGTGATACCAAGGTCTGTAGAGACCAAAAAGTGTCTTCACGTCAGATTCTCCTACCTCCGACCTGGACCAAATTTGGTGCGTCAGGTGCCCTGTCTCCAGCCTCCAGATGCTCCTTCAGTCAAGCACTCCAGTATGCATTGACAGGCTTCCCTGGAATTACAAACTCGTCGAGAACGATGTCGCTGAATCGGCAGTTGATACCGAGCATGAAAAGGATTGGGCTTCGTGTGGTGCTTATGTTGCCTGTCTTTAATGTCTGGTTGAGAATTGTGGTAGTCATCTCGAGCATCTCGGAGATGACAGGCAAACGCTCGGCATTATACGTCTCAAGAAGAGACTTGTCGGCGAGTCCTTTTTCGACGAGCGCGAGTTTCCATCCTAAATTGAACTGGTGCACATTAAGTCATAGGATAAATATTGCATTTGCGAAATAAGACTTACAACATCTTGTACACCTGAGTTAAGTCCCTGTTAATAGAGAGATAAGCGGGTATTAGCAGTCGATCAAAATGACACAGACTTGACCACCGGTTGGACTATGGACACTGAGAGTATGTCAGCAATAGCATACCAACTTGAGAAAGTACTCAAAAATAAACGTACTGAGCAGCATCTGTGAAGATTTGCATCAACACAGGTACATCATTCAAAAGTTGAACCACATACCACCCGCAACAAACACTCGACCCTCGCTAAACTTATTTACCATACGAATATTGGTCCTAAAGCAAACCAATGAAAATTAAAGCCGCATCGATGTACACAATACAAAAACACACCTGAACTCGCTCATCCAGATGACTTTGGTGAACGTAATCTCCGTAGGTATCAACGATGTAATGATCTCAAGGACCAGCTCCTCGCTTTGAGCAGCTTTCGTCAAGTCTACATCGCCACCAAAGATCAAGAATTGCCAGCCATCTTCGCCAACTTCATCTGTTGGACGTATTGAGAGGCTGCATGCACAATGTCAACGTACAAGCCTGAAGAGCAGAAACAACACATACCCTCGTTCCTTGAAGTATCCAAATTGGTGCCAGTACTTTCAAAACAGGATCAGGAGCACTTTCCTACGGAGTAAGTAGAATTGGGACGCACAGATCTATCAAGACCCACGCAAGTTAGACGAATATCTCCGGTGATCATTAGAGCATCGTCTCTCGTTTCGCCCAAAAATGTGAGGCCAAGTTGTTTGCGCACGATGCCTGAAAACAAAATCGAGATTCGTGCAGCATTTGAATTTGATCGCAACTCACCTTTAGCACCATCAGCGCCGATCAACCACTTAGTATTGAAAGTCTCCAGCATGCCATTCTTTTCTAAAACAGCTGTGACACTTTCGTCGGACTGCTCGAAGGAGCGCAGTTCGGTGTCCATCTCGACAGAGCACGAGAATTTTTCTAGGTGGCGTCGCAGAATCACATCTAGGAGTTGTTGACCTATGAATTTAGCAACGTACTAGTAGGAAATAGAACAAACACATTATCAGCATGGATGAGAAGGCAGCGGCTCCTCGTAATACGCACGAATGGTATCGCAGGTGTAGGTTCTATATGCGGGACCATTGGATATTCCTTCATAAGTTCCAACGTCCCTGGCTGGTACGAACGGATTACAGGGAAGGGTTTCCCCAAATCATTGATTTCTGGAACATTCAAGAAGCTGAAGAGATCGAGAGAGCGCGGCTAAACCATGAGTGGATGAGACTAGGATGTCAGACAAGTGGTGTCATGACAAACCCAGATTGCGGGACCTCGTTGTCCGATGTTAGGGTTGGGTTCTTTATCAATGATGCGAACTGGGATGCCGTTCTGAAGGAGTGTCAATGCTGCTACCAGACCTGTTGGCCCGGCGCCTACCTAAGGAAGGATTCAGCCGAGACACAATCTTCTATCATGAGCAGCTCACTCACAACCAACACGGGGGGAGTGAAATTCATGTGTAGACTTTTGGATCAGGATAACGGACAACTGTATCTTAATGTGACAGAAGGGCGCAGCCAATCAAAGCGGAAAGGTATCATGTGCCGCCCAACTGTGTATCTTATATCAGTGCCCTTATAAAACAAACTCACTAACCTTATACGTTCCCATGATAAAGCGCTCCGAACAAGAGCTTTAGTGCCAATCACGTGCAAACACTTGAGGGCACATGTTGCCTTGTGGGGCTTGCTGATCTTGCCCGAGGGTAGGCTATACTCGTCCAATCCTAAGGAGTAGTTGCCGAGTGCGAACTTGCTACTGAATCTAGTGCATCACAAGTACTTGAATATCGAATTTACCATGAGTAGGGATGATCGACGACCATCGCCTCGAATTACTACTATTTTAATGTCGCAGTCATTGCTGGGACCAGGAAGGCATGCCCAATAGAAATCCGGCAAGCTCGACAAGCAAAACTTTAACATCTACACTCGTAAGATTTCCGAGCTATATCAGAGTATGCAACTCAATTTCCGATTTCAAATATTGGGCGCACAGTTGGACGGGTGCGAATTTATAGTTTGTGATTGGAAACTGGAAGTCAAGCAATGATTGAATAAGAACGCGAATACTTACCTTCAGCACCACACATTATGTACCTGCAGCGGCTAGGGGGAAACAAACTTACTAACAACAACCTCACTGGCCGTGACAGCCTCATGATGGTGATGAAATCAGGAGTGAAGAGGATTCGACTACATTAGGTCCAGATTTAGAGTGTGCTCCCAAAGAAGTAACATTCTGACCTCTACAATACTTGATAACTACGTTGATTAGAAAATACAAATGAGTTGCGATGTAAGATCACACGCAAAAAGAACAGACCACTAAACATCCAAGAATATTTTTGAGAAATACTTCGTCACACCTTCTGCACCATGTACGATCGCCCCAACCACTCCGTCCGGCCGAATTACAAACACCCGCGTCTGGCCAGCTTTCACAAGGTAAGCCGAATAAGCATGGCCCTCCTGATCAACAAGAACGAGGTCAGCAGGGGATGTAACAATAGTGCTTGTTGCTGATGAAGGCAAAACGACGGCTGATCGCACAACACTTGTGCCGTACGCCTCCAACGCACCCAAAATCGGAGTAGCGCCTGCATGACTCGGCGCGAAACACAAGCACAGTGTGATACCAAGGCCTGTAGAGACCAAAAAGCGTCTTCACGTCAGATTCTCCACCTCCCACCTGGACCAAATTTGGCGCATCAGGCGCCCTGTCTCCAGCCTCCAAGTGCTCCTCGTCAAGCACCCCATACGCATTGATAGGCTGTCCTGGAACTGCAAACTCGTCGAGGACGATGTCGCTGAATCGGTAATTGATACCAAGCATGAAAAGGATGGGGGTTCGTGCGGCAGCAGTGTTGCCTGTCTTTACTCCGTGGTTGAGAATCGTGGTGGTGATCTCAAGCATCTCAGAGATGACAGGCAGACGCTCGGCATTATACGTCTCAAGGAGAGACTTGTCGGCGAGTCCTTTTTCGACGAGCGCAAGCTTCCAACCTAGATTGACCTGGTATACAATCAGTAATGGCATACACACTGCATTGAAAAGACTTACAGCATCTTGTATACTTGAATTGAGTCCCTGTTCATAAACAGATGAGTAGGTATCGAAATTTGATAAGAGCGCACACACCTGACCACCGGTTGGACTGTGGACACTGAGAATATATCAGAATCAGTTTGGAAAGGAAGCGCCGCTCAAAGATAGACATACTGAGCAGCATCTAAGTATACTTCCGTCAGCGCAGGTATATTATTCAAAAAGTAGAACTACATACCACCCGCAACAAAAACTCGGCCCTCGCTGAACTTGTTTACCATGCGGATGTTGGCCCTAAAGTGATAAATGAACATCAAAACGCATTGATATAACCGAAAAAACGCACCTGTACTCGCTTACCCAGACGAGCTTGTTGAACGTGACCTCAGTTGGTACCAGTGATGTGATAGTCTCGAAGATCAGCTCCTCGCTCTGAGCGACCTTTGTCAGGTCTACATCATTGTCCGAGATGATAAATTGCCAGCCATCTTCGCCGACTTCGTCTGTTGGACGTAACGAAAGGCTGCCCATCGTCAACATACAAACCTCAAGAGCAGAAACCAAACATACCCTCGTTTCATGGTTCCAAATCGGTGCCAATACTTCAATACAGAATCAGAAGCAGTCCTTCATGGAATGAGTAGAAATCGGACACACCGTTCTATCAAGACCAACGCCACGTAAACGAATGTCTCCCATGACCATTCGGACATCCTCTCTAGTCTCGCCCAGGAACGTAAGCCCGAGGTGTTTGCGCACGATGCCTGTAAATCATAGCTCAAACTTATCCTACTATATTGAATTCGATCGCAACTCACCTTTAGCACCGTCCGCGCCGATCACCCACTTGGTATCGAAAGTCTCCAATATGCCATTCTTTGCTAGCACGGTCGTGACACCTTCGTCGGACTGCTCGAACGAACGCAATTCGGTGCCCATCTCGACGGCGCACGAGAATTTCTCTAGGTGCCGTCGCAAAATCACATCTAAGAGTTGTTGACCCATCATCTTTGGAATGTGCTACAATACAAACATAATTAGTTGAAAACAACGGTCCTGCATAGATGGTACGTACGAATGGTATCGCAGGGGTAGGTTCCAAATCCGGGACCATCGAAGATTCCTTCGGAGATTCCAACGTCCCAAGCTTGAAGGAACGAACTATAGGCATGGGTTTTCCCAGTTCGTTGACTTCTGGGACGTCCAGGAAGTTGAAGAGTTCGAGTGAGCGTGGCTAAATGATACATTAGATGAGACTACAGGGTATCGGTGGTTTCATGACAGACCGCGATTCCGGGACCACGCTGTCCGATGCGAGGATTGGGGTCCTTGTCGATGATGCGAACTGGTATGCCGTTCTGGAGGAGCGTCAACGCTGCCACCAGACCTGCTGGCCCAGCGCCTACCTAAGAGAGAGAAATCAAGATTATGGGGCGGCCGTCCTTCATGTGCAGTTCACTTACGACTAGCACGTGAGGACGAGTAGAATTCATGAGTAGAATCAGTAGATTTGTGAGGTTGTTGGAGCAGAATAATGGACGGTCACATTTTTTATCGTTTATGACATAGGGAAAGGGCGGTGCAGTAACGATCAGTGCCCTCCAGCTGCGTGTCCTGTGTCAGTGCCGCAGCTGATCATGATAGAAAGGAATCAGCGATGTCACGCGTTGCTGTTCAAGTTGGATATGTAATTTGTCAACCCGACTCTGGACTGCGGAGTCCGGATTAACACTACAGCTTTCATGATAGACGTTTATTAGATGGTATCAATCGATCTCGAGGAAACTCACAGAGGCTTCAGAAAGTCAGTCAATGCATCGAAGGCTAATTGTAAATTAGGAAGTCCTGACATTGCAGGTCTCTTAACGGTAGCACGCCCTCTTGTTTTGTCAGAATGGGGAGTCAATCTAACTCTAAAACTGTTCCAGAGCCATGGCGTCTCCGAGCTGATAATCTACTGGGTGAAGGGAAGCTTTGTACGCCCATGCTGTGCACCTCCGTTACTAGTAGCAGAGCTTCTGACGTAGATATCATAACAAGATCAACGGTAGAAATACATTAATTGTTCTAGAAGCAGCAACAAGATCGACCGCGTCCATGTTGCCCGGTATCTACCTGCGCCACTACTGGTTGCTGTTGCGTATTGGGATCTGGTGTAGGAGGCCCATCATAGTCTTCATCACGTATCAAGGAGTGCTCACTTCCAGGAGCACCCGCTGCAGCATTACGCTGTAGATTTAAACATCAGACACCCAAGAAACAGTTATAAAAATGATCGGGCGTACTAGTCGACCCTTGGCAAAAGAAACGTCGACCACGGGTAGCGTTCCACGATGGGGTGGCAGGGTGAATAGGCGTCGTAGGTGTTTTTTCAAGGTGGTAGTAGCCTCTACTGGTGTTGAGGTAGTAGCTGGTGCAGGTGGAGGAGCTGAACGTGGGGTTCTAGTTATAGTGAGCCTGAGTCTTTTGAGGTGCCCAGGGCGCTGTGGAGGTCGTGGCCGGGAAATTTGAGAATGCTGTAACGAATGTGAGAGGGAAAAGAAGAAGGATCCGCTGTTGTACCCACTTGATGCCTCCCATGGAAGAAATTGGGTTCCGTATCGTAGCCATCCTGATCTTGCCCGGGAATCTCTGCCTGCATAAAGGTCAGCACTAAAAGAGGCGAGGAAGGAAGTGCATACGCCAAGAATACGGTCATTCTGTTCAGTGAGCGCGCTACATCTTTCCTTAAATTCTGAGGGAAATAAGGGTGAGTATGATAACATCCTGCAACGTCAATGAGAACTTGCCGTTCGACCAATCGAGGCAGCTGGCCTTCGTGGATTCATCAATGGCATTCATCATGCATTGGTGTGCTTGGAGGGCTTCATCAGATTTACTTGCTGAAAGGAACGCCTGGCACCGTTTCTGGTGTGCAGTGAGACACAAAGACTCGAGATCCCAGCCGAAGAGCTGGCCAAAGCACTCAGTTATTAAAAGTATCGTGTATGCATCATGTTGACCCACCACAGTCAAGTCTTCGTATATTTGAGGCACGTATTTCGATGGAAAAGCGCCTGAGTTGACAGCGGCGGTGAAGTGAGCAGCGGCTTTGTCGTGATGCGCACCATCCGAGGCTTTGATTCCAAGCTGAACACGTAGATATGCCTGATGTGCGAGTGACAAAGATCAGTGTCGATCACCTAGCATAGCCGAAAAATACTTACTTCCACAACATGACAGCCAAGAGGATCAGTATTCAGACAAGCGGCAGCCAGCTCTTTGATGAGCAGCATGGCTTCCTCGTGTTGATCTGCATTGAAGAGCGTGATGGCCTAAAATACGGAGTGAAGCAGATAGTATGCAAAACGAATTTAATCTACCTTTATCAAGAGAAGAAAGTGGTTGGCTATTGAGTCTTGATTTGTGAACATGGATGCGACATCCAATGCTGTCCTTGCTCCCCGGACGTGGCCTTTTCCGCAGAGGGCGATGGCTTTGGAGATATAGCCTGTCGACGAGGGCTGAATGCTGATGGACTATGTCACAAATGAAAGTTAGCCTTAGTAAGGGAAACAGTATAACTCACCTTGATTGCATCCTGAAGGGCATCGTCCCAGTCGTGTTTTCGAGCCATAACAAATGAGCGATGTGCATATGAAGTAAAGTTGTTGCCGTCGGCGTTGATCTCTTGAGTGAGTAGCTCTTCAGCGGTAGACAGGTCCCCAATTAGACATGCATTATGGGCTGTCGTGATAGCGAGTATCTGTACGATGGAAGTTCAAATTGTGTTATGAGAGTCAAGGATGGAAACTCGCCTTTGAATTAGCATTGCTGGGTACTGCCCACTCTGAGATCTTGTCGTCTACACCTCCGCTGAGGATGTACTTGCCGTCTGCAGAGAATGTGACACAGGTCACATAGGATGAATGCTGGAAGATAGCGATAGTTCGTCGATCTGAGAGCCGCCAGAGACGGACATGGTTGTCACTAGATGCAGAAGCGACGAGGGTGCCAGCGGGATTGATGGCAATGAAGTTGTTCGAACTAGTGTGGCCTTCCCAGGGGGATGACCGACCTGCTGCCAGGTTGATGTGTCCCACTCTAGAATTTCATAATCGTTTGATGAAAGAAGGCGTGTGCCATCGGGCGTCCATGCAAGTGTGTCACCTGTCAAAGATGCGACGCGTTCCCTTGTGCCTGAATTATAAATACCGATACTGTTGCGATGGCAAGAAGTTGTCCAGAAGGCGAATATCGAATGCAGACCCAACCACCGCACTCGATTGCATCTCCTTGCATCTCCCACGTTTTGGTACACCAAAACTTCACCGTCTCATCAAGTGAACCAGTGGCCAGCACCGTACCATCCGGAGAAAATTCCACTGAGCTCATCCCTTCAAAGTGGGCTTTGATGGGTTGGGTGATGGATTCGCCACTTTCTCCGTGCCAGGCGATGACCTCTCCATTTCCATCACCGCTTGCTATGATTTTACCATCTCGTGATACCGCCAATGCCCACACCCCACCGCTATGCCCCTCCATCTTCTTCAACACAACACCTGTCTCCAAGTCCCACAGACGAAGTGTCTTGTCGTCGGAGCTCGTAACCATTCGTCGCTTATTGGGGAACACTGCGACTGCGTTTACTCTATCCTCATGATCTTCAAAAACTCGAAGGGGTGTTAAGATTGGAATGAGTTGCGACATTTTACTGCAGGTTGATGGTGTCGAGCACGGTCGAGGGATTGTGGGTAAGCTGCAGAGGTGCGTGTATTGGGCGTTTTTATATGACTACCACGCTAACCTTCCCCGTGGCCATGGACCCTCAAGACACGAGGCAATTTACCATAACCGTTTCAGCAGGAATGCTTCCCATCAGTCATAACCGTCCTCTTCGGCTGCACTGTGTACATGCGTCCAACTCATGTCTCTACAGCTTCCATGACATATTCCCTCCCATCCAAGCGCAGTCACTCCTTCCCGTCGCTCGAATGTGGCTGAACAATGAAAGTTCGGCGTAGGTTGCTGCATAGATACCATTGTTTCTCGTGACGAGCAGTTTTTCACACACTTCCGAGTCATTATGTGACTTGTCTGAGCGCGCGTAGCTCACTGCACATATCGTCTCCTCATCTCGTCGATTCCAAACATCCGCCTGTCTCAGGTCCAAGGACTCGCGATCCCTCACCTTGCGACTCGCTGTAGACTAAGTATAATCTAAACAGTACGGTGCCTCTTGAATCTTGATTCTCATACTCTTCAAGGTCTGAAATGATGACGATAACATACACTTATGATTGTATTTTCACATTGCTTACTAGCAGCACTTTCACACCTTGTATTTCGTCGTCTTTCTACGCTCGACTTCTCGTGGACTACATCGACTTCAGTAACAGCGCAAAAGAGCTCTCGCCCAGAATTTTGCCTTCCTCTATAGTATACCCTCCCAGTGCTGCACTGCCACGTACATGCGTCTCTGACTCTCATCTCCACAGCTCCTAGGATGTATCTCTTTGCAATAGATTGCAATAGCCCCGTGAACATAATGATACTATGTTCTTTTTTGTGTCTAATGCCAAATGATTCTCTATCTACTCTCCACAGGATGTGCCGTCACCACCAGGATGGCAATTGATGCACGACGAAACGATGAATACGAATTCGACGTCATCTTATCTGGGAGCAACACCCCCATTTCCTAACAAGTTGGTATGTAGTTCAACGCCATGTTGCTTTCACTATCAGTTTACAAACATGCTACTATCGAAAATCGGGCTGTCCAGTGAGGAGGACAAGGTCAAAAAGCGAATACTAACACGCGCACTACACGCTGGTACGAATATGTAAGGTTCTGTATGAAGCGGCGAAGTATAGATTTCCAACAGCTACAATTTGAATAAGGTATGCAAAAATGAGTCGTGCTTGAAGACAACTTGAAGGAGTCATAAGTAATGAACGAAAACTCAGGCCACTACGCATCCAAAAATATTTTGGAAAAATACTTCTTCACACCTTCTGCACCATGTACGATAGCCCCAACCACTCCGTCAGGCCGTATCACAAGCACCCTCGTCTGACCAGCTTCCACGAGGTAAGCCGAATAAGCGTGGCCCTTCTCATCAACAAGAACGAGGTCAGCACAGGATGCAACAGTAGCACCTGTCGCTGATGAAGGCAGAACGACTGCTGATCGCACGATGCCTGTGTCGTATGCCTCCAGCGCACCCAAAATCAGGGTAGCATCTGTGTGACTCGGCGCGAACACAAGCACAGTGTGATACCATGGTCTGTAGAGACTAAAAAGCGTCTTCACATCGGATTCTCCACCTCCCACCTGGACCAGATTTGGTGCATCAGGTGCCCTGTCTCCAGCCTCCAGTTGCCCCTCGTCAAGTACCCCATACGCATTGATAGGCTTTCCTGGAACTGCAAACTCGTCGAGAACGATGTCGCTGAATCGGCAATTGATACCAAGCATGGAAAGGATGGGACCTCGTGTGATGGCCATGTTGCCTGTCTTTATTGTCTTGTTGAGAATCGCGGTGGTCATCTCAAGCATCTCGGAGATGACAGGCAAACGCTCGGCATTATACGTCTCAAGGAGAGACTTGTCGGCGAGTCCTTTTTCGACGAGGGCAAGTTTCCAACCTAGATTGAACTGGTATACAGTCAGTAGCTTTATACATACTGGATTCGCAAGACATACAGCATCTTGTATACCTGAATTGAGTCCCTGTACAGAGATAGATGAGTAGGTATCAACATTTGATCAGAGCGCACACACCTGACCACCGGTTGGACTGTGGACACTGAAAATATGTCAGAATCAGTTTGGCAAGGAAGCGCTCAAAGATAGACATACTGAGCAGCATCTAAGTAGACTTCCATGAGCGCAGGTACATCAAGCAGAAAGTAGAATCACATACCGCCCGCAACAAAAACTCGGCCCTCGCTGAACTTGTTTACCATGCGGATGTTGGCCCTAAAATAGATAAACAAACGAACATTGAAGACGCGTTGATGTAACCAAATAAGACACAACCTGAACTCGCTCACCCAGAGGAGCTTATTGAACGTGACCTCGGTTGGTATCGCTGATACGATAGTCTCGAAAATCAGCTCCTCACTCTGAGCGATCTTTGTCAGGTCTATATCATTGTTCATGATAATAAATTGCCAGCCATCCTCGCCAATTTCATCTGTTGGACGTAATGAAAGGCTACCCAGCGTCAATACACACATACCCAAACCTTGAGAAGAGAGACTGGACATACCCTCGTTCAAAGTTTCCAAATCGGTGCCAATGCTTCAAAACAGTATCAGGAGCATTCATAGGGCAAGTAGAAATCAGACGCACCGCTCTATCAAGACCAACGCCATGTAAACGAATATCTCCCATGACCAGTCGGACATCGTCCCTAGTCTCGCCCAAGAACGTAAGCCCGAGCTGTTTGCGTACGATGCCTGTAAACCATAACTCAGACTCATCCTGCTGTATTTGAATTCAATCGTGACTGACCTTTAGCACCATCAGCGCCGATCACCCACTTAGTATTGAAAGTCTCTAATATGCCGTCCTTTGCTAGCACAGCTGTCACACCTTCGTCGGACTGCTCGAAAGAACGCAGTTCGGTGCCCATCTCGACAGTGCATGAGAACTTCTCTAGGTGGCGTCGCAGAATCACATCTAAGAGTTGCTGACCTATCAGCTTTGGAATGTGCTACAGCATAAAAAAACCATCAGTATGGCTGCTAAAAAGACGACAGTTTTATACAGCACGTACAAATGGTATCGCAGGGGTAGGTTCCATATGCGGGGCTAGCAAAGAATCTGTCGCAGATTCCAACATCCCAAGCTTGTAGGAACGGACTATAGGGATGGGTTTCGCTAGCTCATTGACTTTCTGGCACATTCAGGAAGTTAAAGAGTTCGAAGGAGCGTGGCTATATGGTACATTGAATGAGAAAGAAGAGCATCAGAGAAGTGATGTCGTGACAAACCCAAATTCCGGGACCACGCTGTCCAATTCGAGGGTTGGGGTCTTTGTCGATGATGCGAACTGAGATGCCGTTCTGGAGGAGCGTTAACGCTGCCACTAGACCTGCTGGCCCAGCGCCTACCTAAGGAAGAGGAATTCAGTTGAAGCGCGACCATCGATCATATGCAGTTCACTTACGACTAGCACGGGAGGACGAGTAGAATTCATGTGTAGAGTTCAGAAATTTTGGATCAGAATAATGGACGGTTACATCTTATAAGATAAGGGACTGCCGATGGCAGTTCGTCATACTTCAGCGTGTGCCCTCCCACTCAGTGCCGAAGCTAATAGAAAGGAACCGCACTGCCAGATGATTTGTCAAAACGCTTACCAGTGACTCCATCATGATGCGGCGGGTGCGGAGTCCGGACGCATTGCCATGGCTATGATAGGTGCTGACTCGGACTTCGAGCCATCAGATATTATTATTGATGTCTGTTCCCGAGTTTAAAGTGCCTTGCGGGGCTTAGCCACTGGCACAGGAAAGACAAACATACTTGCTGAATCCCAACATATATCGAGCGCGAACGTGTTGGTTACCACCGTGTCTAGACGATTCCAAAGTTATGCAAACAAAAATGTGTTCGAGTCAGAAGCGACTGCGGCCTTGGGGAAAGGATTGAATGAGAATACACCACCTAACCAGAATCGTCCCTTCTCTGGTCTCACACTCGTGACTGATTCTGTGACGCCTCGTTTTCTCGTTTGTCGATCCCCTTTTGGTACATCCTCATCGGAATAGTCACTGCCACCCCGTGTGTTGGTGAACACCATCTATCACCGAATACATACTCCCTGTAACTGGATCACTGAGAGACCAAATACTATCACTCATTCTTTTACCTAAATATGCCCTGATCAACGCCAATTGCTACGTGCCATCTGCGTCATCGATCCCGTGAATTGACTCGCGGCAAACTTGAATGACTCTCAATTTATTCTCAACACGCTGTGCTGTCACCACCGTGATGGCAATTGATACACGGCGAAACAATGGATAAAAATTCAACATCTTATCTGGGGCAACACCCCATTGCTTAACAGAAAGTTGGTGTCGTGTTGCTTTCATTTTCAGTTACAAACGTGCTACAATATAAATGAGATATATATATATAAGAATAAGCAGTGCTTGAACAATGAAGAAGTCATAAGTGAAGGACGAAAAATCGGGCCACTAAACATCTAAAAATATTGTGGAAAAATACTTCTTCACACCTTCTGCACCATGTACGATCGCCCCAACCACTCCGTCAGGCCGTATCACAAACACCCTCGTCTGACCAGCTTCCACGAGGTAAGCCGAATGAGCATGGCCCTTCTCATCAACAAGAACGAGGTCAGCATGGGATGCAACAGCAGTACCTGTCGCTGATGAAGGCAGAACGACTGCTGATCGCACGATGCCTGTGTCGTATGCCTCCAGTGCGCCCAAGATCGGGGTAGCATCTGCAAGACTCGGCGCGAACACAAGCACAGTGTGATACCAAGGTCTGTACAGACTAAAAAGCGTCGTCACGTCAGATTTTCCACCTCCAACCTGAACCAAATTTGGTGCATCAGGTGCCCTGTCTCCAGCCTCCAGCTGCCCCTCGTCAAGTACACCATATGCATTGATAGGCTTCCCTGGAACTGCAAACTCGTCAAGAACGATGTCACTGGATCGGCAATTGATACCAAGCATGGAAAGGATGGGATCTTGTGCGGTAATCATGTTGCTTGTCTTTATCATGCTGTTGAGAATCGTGGTGGTCATCTCAAGCATCTCGGAAATGACAGGCAGACGCTCGGCATTATACGTCTCAAGAAGAGACTTGTCGGCGAGTCCTTTTTCGACAAGCGCAAGTTTCCAACCTAGATTAAACTGGTATATAGTCAGTAGTGTTATACATACTGCGTTAACAAGACTTACAGCATCTTGTATACCTGAATTGAGTCCCTGTTCGGAGATAGATGAGTAGGTATCGGCATTTGATCAGAGCGCACACACCTGACCGCCGGTTGGACTGTGGACACTGAAAATATGTCAGAATCAGTTTGACAAGGAAGCGCTTAAAGATGGACATACTGAGCAGCATCTAGATAGACTTCCGTCAGCATAGGTACATCATTCAAAAAGTAGAACTACATACCGCCCACAACAAAAACTCGGCCCTCGCTGAACTTGTTTACCATGCGGACGTTGGCCCTAAAATGAATGAACATCGAAGACGCATCGATGTAACAAAATAATACGCACCTGAACTCGCTCGCCCAGACGAGCTTGTTGAATGTGACCTCAGTAGGTATTGCTGATGCGATAGTCTCGAAGATCAGCTCTTCACTCGGAGCGACCTTTGTCAGGTCTAGACCATTATTGATGATAGAAAATTGCCAGCCATCCTCGCCGATTTCGTCTGTTGGACGCAATGAGGTGCTGCCCCATGTCAATATACACATTCCCAAGCCTCAAGTTCAGAGACTGGACATACCCTCGTTCAAAGTTTCCAAATCGGTGCCAATACTTTCAAGACAGTATCAGGAGCACTCTTTCGTGGAGTAAATAGAAATCAGACGCACCGCTCTGTCAAGACCGACGCCATGTAAACGAATATCTCCCACGACCATTCGGACGTCGTCTCTAGTCTGGCCTAAGAATGTAAGCCCAAGTTGTTTACGCACGATACCTGCAAACAAAATTGAGATTCGTGGTGCTGTATTTGACTTCAATCGCCACTCACTTTTAGCACCATCAGCGCCGATCACCCACTTAGTATCGAAAGTCTCCGATATGCCGTCCTTTGCTAGCACAACCATGACACCTTCGTCAGACTGCTCAAACGAACGCAATTCGGTGCCCATCTCGACAGTGCACGAGAACTTCTCTAGGTGGCGTCGCAGAACCACATCTAAGAGTTGTTGACCTATCATCTTTGGAACGTGCTACAGCACAAAAAAACCATCAGCATGGCTGCTTGAGAGACGACAATTCTACATAGCACGTACAAATGGTATCGCAGGGGTACGTTCCATATGCGGGACCATCGAAGATTCTGTCGCAAATTCCAACGTCCCAGGCTTGTGGGAATGGACTATAGGGATGGGTCTCGCTAACTCATTGACTTCTGAAACATTCAGGAAGTTGAAGAGTTCAAGGGAGCGTGGCTGGATCACGTATTAACTGAGACAGAGCATCAGAGAAGTGGTGTAATGACAAACCCAGATTCCGGAACCACGCTGTCCGATTCGAGGGTTGGGGTCTTTGTCAATGATCCGAACTGGTATGCCGTTCTGGAGAAGCGTTAATGCTGTCACCAGACCTGCTGGCCCAGCACCTACCTAAGGAAGTTGAATTAGACTGGCTCGAAGGCACAATCATTGATCGTATGCAGTTCACTTACGACTAGCACGGGAGGACGAGTAGCATTCATGAGTAGAATTCAGAGATTTTGGATCAGAATAATGGATAGTCACGTCTTATGACATAGCAGACAACCGATCAGGCGGAAAGGCAACGTAGGTAACGATACGTGTCCTACGACTGACGGTGTCCTGCGTCAGTGCCGCAACTGACTGCCATGTCATCATGAGTCGAGACTCGACTTCGAACCTATGTCTGTCTTTACAAACAACTACAAACAACCATGCTAGGGCTCCGTTGAATTATCAGCAACGCCCCATTTCCTAACGGAAAGTCGGTGTGTAGTTAAATGTCGTGTTGCTTTCATTTTCAGTCACGAACGTGCTACAATATAAATGAGATATATAGGAATAAGCAGTGCTTGAAGAAGTCGTAAGGACGAAAAATCGGGCCACTAAACACCTAAAAATATTTTGGAAAAATACTTCTTCACACCTTCTGCACCATGTACGATCGCCCCAACCACTCCATCCGGCCGTATCACAAACACCCTCGTCTGACCAGCTTCCACGAGGTAAGCCGAATGAGCATGGCCCTCCTGATCAACAAGAACGAGGTCACCACGGGATGCAACAGTAGCACCTGTTGCTGATGAAGGCAGAACGACTACTGATCGCACAATGCTTGTGTCGTATGCCTCCAGCGCATCCAAAATCAGGGTAGCATCGGCATGACTCGGCGCGAACACAAGCACAGAGTGATACCAAGGTCTGTAGAGACTAAAAAGCGTCGTCACATCAGATTTTCCACCTCCAACCTGAACCAAATTTGGTGCATCAGGTGCCCTGTCTCCAGCCTCCAGTTGCCCCTCGTCAAGTACCCCATACGCATTGATAGGCTTCCCTGGAACTGCAAACTCGTCGAGAACTATGTCGCTGAATCGGCAATTGATACCAAGCATAGAAAGGATGGGGCCCCGCGCAACGGACATGTTGTCTGTCTTTAATGCCTGGTTGAGGATCGTGGTGGTGATCCCAAGCATCTCAGAGATGACAGGCAAACGCTCGGCATTATAGGTCTCAAGAAGAGACTTTTCGGCGAGTCCTTTTTCGACGAGCGCAAGTTTCCAACCTAAATTGAACTGGTATATAGTCAGTAGTGTCATACATACTGCATTAACAAGACTCACAGCATCTTGTATACCTGAATTGAGTCCCTATTTAGAGATAGATGAGTAGGTATCAGCATTTGATCAGAGCGCACACACCTGACCGCCGGTTGGACTGTGGACACTGAAAATATTTCAGAATCAGTTTGACAAGCGCTCAAAGATGGACATACTGAGCAGCATCTAGATAGACTTCCGTCAGCACAGGTACATCATTCAAAAGGTAGAACTACATACCGCCCGCAACAAAAACTCGGCCCTCGCTGAACTTGTTTACCATGCGGACGTTGGCCCTAAAGTAAACAAAAGAATATCGAAAATGCACCGGTGTAACAAAATAAGACGCACCTAAACTCACTTACCCAGACGAGTTTGTTGAACGTGACCTCAGTAGGTATCGATGATGTAATGATCTCGAAGATCAGCTCCTCGCTCTGAGCGACCTTTGTCAAATCTAGATCATTATCAAAAATCATGAATTGCCAGCCATCCTCGCCAATTTCGTCTGTTGGACGTAATATGGTGCTTCCCTGTGTCAATATACACATCCCAAAGCATCAAGTGCAGAGACTAGACATACCCTCGTTTAAAGGTTCCAAATTGATGCCAATACTTTCAATACAGTATCAAGAGCATTCCTTCATGGGGCAAGTAGTACAATCAGACGCACCGTTCTATCAAGACCAACGCCATGTAAACGAATATCTCCCATGACCATTCGGACATCATTTCTAGTCTCGCCCAAAAATGTCAGCCCGAGCTGTTTGCGCACGATGCCTGTAAACCATAACTCAGAATCACCCTAATGTATTGAATTCGATCGCAACTCACCTTTAGCACCATCAGCGCCGATCACCCACTTAGTACCGAAAGTCTCCAATATGCCGTCCTTTGCTAGCACAGCTGTCACACCTTCGTCGGACTGCTCAAACGAACGTAATTCGGTGCCCATCTCAACAGAACATGAGAATTTCTCTAGGTGGCGTCGCAGAATCACATCTAGGAGCTGTTGACCCATCAACTTTGGAACATGCTACAATACAAATATAATTAGTTGAGAAACGACGCTTGCGCATAGTACGTACGAATGGTATCGCAGGGTTAGGTTCCATGTGCGGATTCATCAAAGATTCCTTCGGAGATTCCAACGTCCCAGGCTCGTAGGAACGGATTACAATGAAGGGTTTTGCCAGCTCGTTGACTTCTGGGACGTTCAGGAAATTAAAAAGTTCGAGGGAGCGTGGCTGGATGGTGTATTAAATGAGACTACAGAGCATCAGAGAAGTGGTGTAATGACAAACCCAAATTCCGGGACCACGCTGTCCGATTCGAGGGTTGGGGTCTTTGTCAATGACTCGAACTGGGATGCCGTTCTGGACAAGCGTTAACGCTGCCACCAGACCTGCTGGCCCAGCGCCTACCTAATGAATAGAAATTAAGCTGAGGCGCAACCATTCATTGTGTGCACTTGTAGTTTACTTACGACTAGCACGGGAGGACGAGTAGAATTCATGTGTAAAGAGTTTAGAGGTTTTGGATCAGAATGAAGGATAGTCACACCTTATAACATAGCAGACAGCCAATCAAGACGCAAAGGTAGCGTAAATAAAAGGCGTCTCTGCCCTCCAACTAACGGTATCCTGTATCAGTGCCGTAGCTGACTGTCACTGTGTCATCATGAGTCGGGATGAGTCATCAAAACATTCATCAGTGACTCCATACGACTGCGGCATCCCGGGCCTGCATGCACTGCCAGATGAGTGTTGACTTGGAGGCCCATCGGCGGATAGCATTGATTTCCCGAGTCCGACTTGCGTGTGCCTTGAATGATATTTGTTGAAACTTGATTCGAGGCTATACTTTCCAAGCGCGAACGTGTTGGTTGCCTCCGGATCTACTAGCCAATTGCATCTCAGAAGCTCTCGATGTCCTGATTCCAACGTAGGATGTGATCAGCCTACACTAGTATAACTGGCGTGTCTTTACAAATAGCTACAAACAACTCATGGCTTGAATTATCAGATAACCAGTCATAATAACAGCTTATCCTTGTATTTGATAAAGTAATGCCAGCTTATATTATCCATAACGAAGGTCATATCAATTCATAAGAAGATGCCAGCACCTAGATCGTAAATTATCGTATCATAAATCATGAACATCACCCCCTCACACTTCCCTGCTCACTAGCATACGCCATCCTCCCAAATCCACCACCACCTCCAACACTCATACCCACGTAACCCTCCCCTCCACCCCTAACATACCCCTCCCCACCACCACTACCACCCACACTCCCACCCCGTCCATACGATCCCGCCCTCGGCGTCCCACCCGCACTCCCGTTCAAAGCCATCCCCACGGAATACCTCGTCCCACTCCCAGGTGCAGTAGCAGTATACAAACTCGCCGCACTCCCCGCAGCCCTATACTTCCTCTTTGGAGTCTGCAATCCCGCATCACTACTAGTATCACTGGAGTCCTCATCCGACTCGGGTGCAAATTTCTGAGAGGGAGGCGGAATCACTACTGGTTCGTTCGGGTCGTCGTGTATCGTTTTAGGGCTGCAAGGGACTATGATCGTGTTGTTGCCGTACTGGTGGTTGGTGGCTCCGCTGTATTGGTGGCGACCGTGTTGGGAGGAGGTGGCAGGCCCCGCTAGGCTGCTGCTGCTTGGTGTATATGGACGCGGGGTTGGTGGGCCGGCGGGTACGAACCCAGGTGGGAGGCCTGCAGGTAAGCTTGAATACATCGTACTACCTGTAGGCGGAATAGGCACCATCGACGGTGTCACGTGTGCTGGCAAGCTTGAATACATCGTACTACCTGTAGGCGGTATAGGCACCATCGCCGGTGTCACGTAAGACGATGGTGGCGGTGGTAATGGGCGGTCAGCGTCTGCAGGACTGAGGTAATACGGGCGCTGCCCAGATGGTGTTACTTGCGACATGTTAGATGCGGGACGCGACTAGAGTTGTGTTGCGTTTATCGATGCTCGATAGACTGAGAAGAGAGGTTACTCACGGGCGGCTGGATCGTGATGTTGACGGTACCAGATGATGATGAACTGATCGGACGCGTTGATTCTGGTGCTGGTGATCTAGGTACTGATATAGTAGATGGTGTTTTCTGCAGCCGAATCTGTTCTCTAGATGAACGCGGTACCGGCATAGAAACATGCACGAAGCCAGCCTGCAACTCGATCAACCCCGACGCTCCAGATGAGTTCTATCGAACAAAACGACGCACCTCGTCTACCTCTTCTTCTACTCTCGCTCTCATACTCCGGCTACTAGGCGTACTCTGTTCACGTACGCTCGTAACCTCGGGAATGACGCTCAGTCCGCTGGATTGAGGGTGCTCCGGAGGACTAAGCAGCTCTAGTTCCGACGTCCTCGTAGAGGTCACGCTTTCCGTACGCGAAGCTCTCCGACGTACCGTTCGTTGGGTACGAGGTTCGGAAGCAGGGACCGAATATAACGGCGCGCCAGGAGATCGAGGCTCTGGTACCATAAGTACAGGATCTTGGGGCAGGGAGCGCAGAGGTGTGTCAGGACTTGAACAAATGGGGGACGGCGTACGACGCGAGCGCTGGAACTCGTGGGGAGGTGGCAAGCGGATGATTAGAGAAGAATCAGCTTCTGGGATCCAGCCGTCTGAAGGAATATCGTTCAGCGCGTGGGCAGGGGAGAACATGGTACTACGCGCAGATGTGGTCTGTGGGTGACGTTGCTGTTGCTGTTGCTGTGGTTGGGTTTGCGGTTGTGCGCGGGGACGTGTAGGCGTAGTAGGACGTGATTGTTCGCTGGAAGTGCGCGACATCGGTTCTGGTCTGAATCGCGGGGTATTCTGCGCCTCAAAGTCACCTCTCGAATCGCTACCTTCGTCGTCACTAGGGGCAGAAAAGTAGCGTTCGAGGACACGATCTGCTGTTACTCGACCTTGTGCATAACCCTTTGTCCGCCCGTGCACGTACCCCATATCCTTCCCCATCTCCAGTCCTTCCTGAAGACCCTGTTTACGGCCCTCCTCGCGAGCGGCTTCGATCATCTTCTCCTCCATCAATTTGCGCAACCTAGTCCTTGACTTTGCAGCGCTCTCCTCTGCATCCCTCCTCCTGTCTTCCACATCCTTCATCACGCCCTGCGCACGGAAAATCTCCTTCTGGGCTTGTTCGAGAGCATCTTTGTATAACCTGAGCTCTTCTGTCAAACGTACGATCTCGCTTTGAGAGACTATGCGTGCATCGTTGGCCTCTTTGAACCGTATGCATGCTTCCTTTGCTTTAAGCTCAGCATTATCAGCACGGTCCTGCTCGAATGCAAGTCGTGAATTCAAGAGAGAGACGTCTGCGCGGAGGTCGCGTACGACAGACTCTGCATCTGCGAGGAGCTGTAGAACTTCGCGGTTTGTCGGGGTGTGTGAGCTGGTGCGAGAGATGGGCTTTGAGGCTTTTGAAGCTTTCGAGGCGGTAGAATGGTGTGATTGGGAACGTGTGAGGGGTGGTATTGGGAGTGGTGGGGTGTCTGATTTGTCGCCACTCGGAATATTGCTGGGACCTGCTTGGGGTGTGCTTAGTAGTTGGCTCATGGGACTAGAAAGAGACTGGTAAGTTAGTCTGGTTCGGTCTTGATAAAGGATTTACAAACAGGGACAGACTAGGACGGGGTTATATGCGTGCCAAGGGTCAATCCATGGCAGTAATACTACAACTTCAATTACTTTTTAAAGTGTCCATTGTATCACTGCTTTCGCATTACATAACCATTTTTTTTTATCAACCTTGTCAGACTTTGCCGCTAAACACGTCCGAGTCCGAACAGTTGAGACTCCTTGAACTCAAGTTTCAACTCATCGACATTGCCTCTTCATTCACGCGGCTACTGGCGACCACGGTCCGATGCATGTCGTTAACCCGATCAAATATTGACATGACAAGCGCCTGTGCTCGCTCTTATCCGAATTATCTTTCCAAGTCGATGCCAGCGAGCTCGACGAAAACCAAGCGTTCGACGTATGCTGGAACAGAGTTAAAAACAACCCGGAGATCAAGTTTGATTTCAACTTTGGACTCACCTGGCGCGTTGGTAAGTCTATCTCTCCGCCACATCAGTCAAACTCACCGGAGCTAGGTTACGGAACACCCAACGCGTGTTTTTCGCCAATCGGCCCTGCCGCTGAGAAGCTTGGGCAGTGGGTTGGACAATACTATCGTCAAGGGAAAATATAGATCCGGAATCCGTGCTGGTCCTAGTAAAGTAACATACGATCAACTTTGGAAGTCAGATTTCTGGTCTTCTGTCTGGATCTCAGCACCTGCCGATATCCGGTTTCCAACTTGAGTGTGATGTATGCATATCGTGGCATGGGAAGCTCGTGCATTTCTCCACGGAGTTGGTATATCACTCAACACGTGCATCAGACGAAGCATTTGGAGGTGTCTGCGTCCATTTTCCCGAGTCATGCGGTTCAATAACAAGTGAGCATATGTATCATCTCAGGTTAGGACGCCGGTCCGACTGTGCTTCGTGTGCAACTCTTTAACACCGCTTTCCCTTCCTCTTCCTCTGCTCAAGGGCACTGCTCACATATCTTTCCACAGACTCCGGACTCGCAAACCTTCTCACAGTCTCCATCGTATAAGATTCGGCCAGCGAATAGTTTAAAGCAATGACCTCCGTATCTGCAACGCATCGAAAAAACATCTTACTTGGATTTGCCGGAGGATCCACCATCGAGCGTTGTATACGCATCAGATAGCAGAAATTGCGTTCACCAAGGTGCGCATGCAAACTCCAGCACCCGTACCCAGTCCTTGTTATCTACATCTATCCTTCAAAGTAAAAATCGACGAAGATCGCGTATCTCGTCATCTTCTCGGCGGAGTGTATGCGTAAAGCGTCCTCCATATCTATGTGTCCTGAAGTACCCGATTTTCTAGGGAATGTCGACTTATTTGGTTTCATGGTGGTTATAGTCATGTCGAATTGACAGAACTGGTGATATAGGAATCTAGCTGTACAGCTATCGACCTGTATTTCCAATTCTGTGACGATAACCGAATTGAAAGAGAAAGCGTGAAGGTGTAGAATGATCAATGATGACAGTCAGGGATGGGCTAGGGGCTTTTGGGTATGTATAGCTTGGAAACGTTTAACAGCGACGACCCTCGGCGACCTCGCTCCTCGCTTGCTCACCAAGTAATTTAGTTGAACGATCATCTCTCACAGCACCCTGACCATGTAACAATCTAGGGCTGTTCAATTCATTCAGTTCACCGAGCGTCGCCAAATCAAGGTGAACCGAACTGAAAGATTAAGTGAGTCAACCCACTGCTCACCGAACTGGTGCACAACTAAAACTTAAAGCTGAGTTAGTACTACTTTTCACCATCGCGCCTCGCGCCTTCCACTCCTCAAGCTCTACTTTGCCTACCCTCCCATCCGCCACCTGCCTCTGTATTCATCGCCTATCATTGCGTTTCTTCTCTGTTTTGATTTCTTCTGCTGTTTTGCGATAAACTAGATGGCTCACAATGAACTACCCCCAGGCTATCAGCAATACGATCTTGTACAACTCAACTCATAGCCAATTCTCCCCAGTGACCTGCCTCCTCGAGTATGTCCTTCGGAATGTCCACAAACACATTGCTGCACTAATATTTCTGTGAACAGTACTACATGACACTGCTATCTTCCCACTCGCATTGTGTGTTATTCTTCTCCTTATGACGAATAAAACCATTGAGTACCTCCTCTTGCGTGATCTCTTACCGTATTACATGGTCACGAGCTTACCCTCCTACGCCTTGTGCCTGCCGCCACCCTGATGGATGATCTACATCCTTGCACACCCATGGCTCGACTGTTTTGTGCCCGACACCTACTACTCATTCATGTGAGCTTCCCGGTGCTCCAACGCCTGTTTCTGATGTCAGTCACAATTTAATTTATCTCATGCATGTAGTCAATGCATTTGTAGACGTCTTCGTAGTTTGACTTGAGCAGGAAAAATTTAAGGATTTATTGATATGTTAGGGCCGTTGTAATGTGACGGACTGCAAAGGGAACCAAGGCCAGACCTTGGCCAGACCTCTACAGGAAGGCTACCGTAGACTCTATCTATCGAGAACACGCCCGAGGACTACCGACTATGAGCCAGGACTCCTGCCACCGCACCAGAACACCTGCTTCTGCGCCCGGACTTGCCTAGGTCTGATGGGACGCCCCGCTCTATCTGCCCATCCTCGAAATGCAACCGGCCGCGGTTGCACTATGAAAGACGAATGTGTGGGACTCCGAGCGCGAGGACCTGCGCCAGACCACCCTGGTACACCTACTACCTGGCCGCACACCACAACGAGCGGGCCATCGAGCAATATTTAAACTCCGCCTCGGCGAAGCCCCAAACCCCAGGCCAGAGTCTACGTAATATAAGTAGAAATAACCAAGCTAATATTTCCCGGAGAATCGTTTGTAAATCCAGAGCCCAGATCGAGTTTTTCCAGTTCTGCCGTTCAAACGTTCACAACCGGTAAAGGCCTTGCAATCAACGTCGTGTACCCTGAAGGGCTTACCGGGTTTTTGCGTGCGTTCCTAAGTCTGAGAGGAAACCATAAGGATTTACTGGACAGCTTCCATTAGCATCTTCTTCCCTCACGGAAAATACAGTACTCTGATATCTTTTTTACTCGAGGGCTACGTACGAGTGCCTTATTCGCTTTGCCCATCATTGATATGCATTTTCTGGTGGTAGGATCCGTCCCGTAACTCCTTTCTCTCTGTCGCGCGCGTGCACGTGCACAAGTAGTGAGAATTGGGAAAAAATGATTCAGCTCTGCAATCACGGTGTCAGTAATCAGGAGGTCGGGCATGTGTCCTCTGTACATTGTCAGTATTTGAGGCTTCAGGCCAGACAGCACTTTTTCTGCTACACGTTTGCCTTCACAAAATCGCTGACCTGAAGTGAGAATAACTTTGATCGCGTGAAATAGAAAATAACCAAGAGTATACATACAGTAGCACTGTCACCCGAAGGGGATCGCTTGTAGGATGACATATAGGATGGATCCAAAATTTGCACGTACGTGCATCTGGGGTAATCTGCTGGCATTGCAGGTATTATGTGGTCGAATGTGGCACAACCACGCAAGAAGAATGTCAGGACACCTTCAAAGCTTGTACGTTCATTCGCTGACGCGGGGCTAGTAAAGAGATTTCGGTGGATCAACAGTGGACAGGTTCTTTTTAAAACCATAAAGGTTGTTCAGTTATCCAGCATATAAAAGAAAGGTGTTTTCCTACTAACCCTGCAGAATTATTTAATCTCGTCTCATATCCTCATACATACACAATGCGTTTCACCTGTGCAATTATCCTCGCCATCGCTACTGCTTTTGCATCATCAGTCTCTGCCACCCCCTTCACTGATTCCAGGGCCGAAAAATGTTCCACTTGGTGCTGGAACAACGGAGCATGCCGGGGCTGTACTAAGAAGACCTGCGTGAGTATTCGTAGTTTTCCTGGATTTGATAACATAGCTCACCTGCATAGCAGAACTTTCCTTTATGCGAAGTGAGTCGCGTTTCTGCTTTCCCATCGGTGAAGCATAGCCGTTGGTACTGACGCGCGAGTTATAACTCCATTAGAAATAGATCACTTAATCGACACGCCCTCAGGAAATCATCGGTGGAATTGGCATAAGTTTCCTTCAATTGGGAAATGTTAGATAAAATGTATAAGGACGCAAAAAGAATACTATCGAAGAGCGTGCAGGACATCCTATGGCGCAGCGTCGATGACTGTTCCTGCTGAATCACCGTAGATGAACCTAGGGCTGTAGATTGTACAATTATGAGTCTATATGCGCACGATGTACCCAATAAGAACACACCTAGGTCCTATATACAGCTGCTTGCTTTGACTTTGATTGTGTCTCAACGACGTTCGACAAGATCTAGATAGGCACAATTTGAACAGAAAAAACGGCCTAGTTTGCTGGGGTCAGTAGCAGCAACACACAGAAACAAGGGTCGCCCTTCAGGATCTTGACACAAAGGTCGGCCGCTCACATATGCCGTCTTCCTTTGCATATGCGCGTCCTTGGTGAATTGTGAATCGCCGCAGAAGTGATCTTCTGGCGATAAAGAATCTTCTAGGAGTCAGAAACGGAAGCGAAGGGAAGTTGAGGCTGAGGATAGCAATATATATTATTGTCGTTGATACGCCCTTCTTATTGATGTGTTCTCTGAAACCTGCGGTACTTAGGGGTCGGTGTGTACCCACACCCGTGGCGAGTGCGGTGTTGGCGGGTACGGACACGGTGTTGAGTTTCCGACCCGCGGTGTTACCCGTGCGTAACCCTGCAAATTGTGATCCAAGTTTCATATTAAATTCATAGGGAACGTGGAAAGGCTGGGGTCGGATATACCAGAGGGGACCAATCAGATGGCCTTAGTAGTTTAAATACTTCTGAAACTCACTTACGCACCAGTACATCACATGATCACTTTGCTACAATGTTTGCCTTGGATAGAACACAGGAAAGCGAGTGGAGTTCGTGCCATGTATATGACTTCTGTGGATCGGAAAATTTCAAAGTCGTTGGGTATTGCCTCAAGAATAAGACGACATGTTTACAGCGGACGCTGCGGCCTGGGCAAAGACGTAGTCCAGACTGGTCATGAGTCTAGTCTGAGTGCTGATCGATGTTGCCAAAAATCACTTGGCTCCACTGCAACCAAGAAACCTGTGATCACG